AGATTGACAATGAAACTTAACACACCCTGAACACGTCTACATGACATTATTTTTGATAGGATTTACGTGAAATTTTTGTTTGTCACTATTGTTGGACAAAATGGTAAGAGGAAAAGAGATACATGGTGGTAGCGTTTATTTTACCCGTGGATTCTACTGCACCTTAGAAAATGCTGTAAATATATAATGACAAGAGGTGACTTCTGGATTATCTTGTTTGTTATATTGTATGTTGTATCTTCTGTGTTACTCTGTGTGGCTGCATGTATTTAATCCTGAGTTGCTGTTCATTCAGTGGGACTGAGCGACACATTGTCATTATAAAATATAGCTACTAAAACCAAATACATCAAATAAAGAGAAATATTTTATATATAGTGATATCTCATTCAGTTGTGTGAGAACTCTGAACTGGAACTAGATACATGCAGCGAAGACACGTTCTCAACCACACACACTGAGAACAGAAAGGTCACGTCCTATGTATGTTCCAGGAAATGAATTTACTCTGCACTATTTAAATGTTAACACGTGGCTGGTGAGGAAGAAAATTCACATTCTCCAGACTTGCTAACCAAAGGACATGTGGCAACAACACTGGGTATTTTTTCTCTCTGCTTTTATGTTTTGTAAAATTCTAAATGTATTATCCAAACACAACATGTGTTATTCATAAATGCCAAAATCATACATTTTAAAATCAGCTCTGGGTGTTGTGAGGGCTTGTTTTTGTAATATAGCAAATATAGATGAAAGGTAAAAGACTCAGAATCAAGACAATTTAACTGAAAACCCCAAAGACAAATACAATACTAACAGCTCATTTAACTGTGTAGTATTTTGGTGGGAAACATTGTGCATTTCTTCTAATAATAACAGAAGTTCTTCTTTCTTTTTCAGTGTGTCTCACAGTGAAGGGACAGGAACTGTTGGTTAGATATGTGCAGAGAAGACACGTTTTCAACCACACCTGAGGCCTGTGAATGGAGCATATACAACTGAAAGTTCACGTCCTCTGTATGTTTATGGAAACTTTGAGGTTTTTAGCACTGGCAGAAGATCAGAATCAGAAGTAGAAATACTTTAATAATCCCAGGGGGAAATTACTCGTTACAACTCCAGATATACATACAACATATATACATACAACATATAATATATTAAGAACATGTGTATATATATATATATATATATAATTCCTTTAATTACAATAGCTAGAATGATCCTTTTAAGTAAAATACCCTATTATTGTTAACATGTGAATGTTATCAGTAAAATGTGTTTTGGAACCGTCTATCTTCCTGCCTATTTCCCTGAACATATTTTTAGAGGCAGATAATATAGTAAAGCAAAATAATGCAATGTGTATTTGTATGTCCTGTTATCAAGTTTAACACAGCTTTGGACAGTGAACACGTAGGCCTAAACCAGATTATGTTTCTTCTTTTTTTTCTTTTGTTCATTGTACATCAAATGAGGAAGTGAAAGCAAATGTTTAAAGCTCAGGAAACATTTACATACACACAGGCAGTCTTGTCACTCTGACTAATTTTCATTCTACAGTTATTGGCTTCTTCACTTTTGATAATATGGACGGTAAGTAATTTACAGTTTTTTTTCTTTTACATAATGTGAAAAGTGCACTTTCATATTTAAAAGCCGATCCTCAAAGTCAAAATGTTGCAGCTTCAGATTACAAGGATTTGGCTGGCAAAACACTAGTTGAATTTTTATTGTGAGGTGAGCCAGTCACAGGTAATGCAACGTGTGACACCACTAAGGGAGTAACTCAATAGCAAGAAGCAGCCACAGTGAACTGTTCCATGAAGACCCGCTAGAGACACCTCTATCTTCTCAGACTAACATTAACGGACTTGGCTATAGTCTACTTTGATTTTTTGCTGTTGACAAACATACGCAGTGTCACTATTAAAAAGAATATCATTTAAAACCTTAATGAGAGCTGTCTCTGTGCTGTGATAGGCACAAAAGCCTGATAGAAATGTAACAAACAAGTGATTTTAAGTTTGTGTGTTAATTGATTAAAAACTGCCAATGAGGTTAAAGATTATTATAAATGGACGCTGCAGCCTCATTAGTGAGCTGAATGACAGATAGGATGTGGGAGGATTGCTTATACAAAGTAGGCCTAACAGTTTATGTGTTACAGTCGCCATCCTGTGGTGTTTAGTGGATGAGGCACTGAAGGACTACTGAAGGACTTTGTCAGCTAAACATTAATTCTGTGAACTCTACTCTTGCATATAACAAAATGGGTCTCAAGAATAATGTTGTTTACACCAAATGTATACCCTACCTATGTTATGTAACTTAAAAATAGTAAAATTAGACAATTTTTGCATTATACTTGGACTGAAAATTAGTCATCCTCAAAATTGTTGACAGTTGGAGAACAATTAGGTTAGACGTAAACTCTACAAGATGATTTTTTTCCTAGCAACTTAAATGACGTACAGATTTTTAGGCATTCTATTATCTCAAATGGGAAAAAGTCTCCTCAGTGGATCATACTGCTGGACCCTAATGCACTATTTGGACTCAGGTCCGAATGTTTACAATGTTCTTCAATTTAAACTTCCCTAAATATCATAATGAAAAAATTAAGTCTATAAATGTAATCATTTTGGACTTTCAGTGTTTGGATAAAGTAGCTTGTGAAAAACAGTCTTATCACAGCCCTAGTAGGCCTATTGGTTTGAACGCTAAATCTGATGCCCAATATTAAACAGGACCAATTAAGAGCAAACTAAAAAGATTATCACTATTCATATTTGTTTACAAAATGGTCCTCAGTCTTCCTCTACAATTAATTACACTTAATAACTTAAATATAAGAGGAGATGATCTTGATCATTAATATGCATATCATATTATTATTATTATTATTATTATTATAATTATATGTTTTTTAAGTAGCAACTCATTTCCTTTTTTACTGTGATTTTTGACCAATGAGGATTTGTATTAATATTGAGCTCATGTGTATCTTGTTATATATGAAAACAAGACAAATGTACGATATTATTAATGAACATTATTCTCTTACAGTGTCACAGACAGTTACAGAGACAAACAGAAGAATTGCCATGGTGGGAAAAACTGGAGTTGGGAAAAGCAGCCTGGGTAACACCATATTTGGAAAGTATGTGTTCACGATCAACCATAGTCTCAACTCTACAACAAAAAATGTCAAGACAAAAATACATCAGTCAATGGAAGAATGATCACTTTGATCGACACTCCTGG